ATCTTTTTTTTTATTATTCATCATATATCCAGTTTACTGGCTTATTTCTGTACGTTAAACATCTCTTTTTGGTCTCTCTAGGCATCCTGTCCATCCGTTTTTTTTTTTTTTTTTTTTTTTTTTTTGGTTGTTTTTTTTTTTTTGTTTTTTTTGAGATATAAAAAAGCTCCATAACCTAACAATATTTTATTCCTTATTATACCTTCGCTTTAAAAGCAGGGGCCGGGGCGGATATCTAGTGATCGAATGCCCGTCCGTCCCTCTATACGTCAGTCCTTAATGCTTTGGGATACCCATTTCTTATCCACAACTCCTCCTATACCACTGAAAGAAATTTTATGAGACTCTCACAGAATGTTTATTCCATTGTGACCTTCTCTTTTACTTTTTGAACGGGCACATATTGCGGGTTTCCCATAGCAAAACATTAATTGGCACTGCCATTCATTCTATAATATTGAGGGGTGTCCATCTCTTATTCGCAACTCCTCCTATACCATTAAAAAAAATAAATGATACTTTCACAAGCAAGAACATGTTCTACGTTTGAACAATTTCTAAAACGAGGTAAATTATTGTCAAACAAGTTGTTGAAACAAGAATATCAGCAATCTCGTGTAAAGTCATCATTTGGTACATGTACGTTCTATGGTCCATACAATGATCTCGTCAGCAAATACAATCTACCATTAAGTCAAATACTGATTGACGTTTTTCATACTAACTTGTCGGCAGATTTTCCGCTACTTCCCGACCATGACAAGGAGTACACAGCGGGTGTGACTGTTCGGCAAGGGATGCTCACTTTTCAATGATACCTTACCTCTGACGATTTGAGGTCCGTGTTTGATCTGCTCCTGATTTGTATTGTTAACTGAACTTTTGAGCTTGAATACTATTCGTTATCATCAAAATTTATTTCATTCTTGAATGGCAAATTACTCCTTATCTCTTATTTCTTTCTAAAATGTCAATTTGCTCCTATTTACATTTCATTTCAAAATGTTTTTCTTTGCTGCAAATGGATTTTACTTACTGGGAAGAAAGTTACACGTCATAACAACATTAACTCGCCAAACCCAAAAAACATAACTGATAATTGGAGATTTCCTTATATATAATCGTGAGATTTAACTGCACATGAAATGTGAAAAGAACGGGCAATAATCAATGTAGTGGAATTACCAACTTTAAAGTTGGAATAACCAATTATAGAAAAAATATATATTTGGTGGAACTTTAATAATCAAGCTCAAAAGTTCATTTAAAAAGCACAAACTGTTAGCAGAGTCGACGTGGACGTCTAAAAACAGGTGGGATCAGGAACCAGGGGGAGTAAACATTCTCTGTTGACGAGTCACACCGCTACATGTAGCTGTATGTTGTTTGCCAAGAATGAGCAAACAGAAACTCGAAGTCCTTAAGGCCACACCAATTTAATTTCTTGTTCGTCGGACATTTGCTGAAAAAAAGTACGAGCGGGCAAGCGGTTAAATAATAATATTATAACTTGTTGTAGGCGAAATTTTTAGGCGGATCGTGAAAGCAATTGAGCGGACAATTAAATTTTTTCTGATTTTGAGAGTAAGCAGTTTAAAAATACGATAAATAGAGCGGAAATAAAACAGAAAGAAGCACAGAATCCCCATTGTGCGGTAAATTTAAATCAATATCATTTTCATAGTTTTGTTTAAATACGAGCGCGCGGGTCCGACGAACACAATTTTTTATTGGTGTGGCCTAAGTCCTAATTTATTGTAGAGGGTGTGATTTTATTGATTTTAAATGAAACATTATTTTTCATTAATGTCCATGATATTCAATTCAATTATGAATCTACAATGTATACAATGTATATATTTTTACCCCCCCCCCCCCGAAAAAAAAATGAAATGTCTGAGAAAAGTATTTCTCGCCTACCTATACATGTATCGACCCCCATTTTTCATCCCGAGTCGGGAGCGGGCAATCATGCAAAAAATTATTTTAAAGTTGGCCGAACTTTTGGTTTTTGTAGCTTCTGTACCGATAACAGTAAACTGCATATAACTTTTATTTGCGATTATTATACCCCCGCTTGAAAAGCGGGTGGGTATATAGTAATCGGTATGTCCGTCCGTCTGTTACCCTTTGGGGTATCCATCTCTTATCCACAACTCCTCTTATACCACTGTAGGAAATTTAATGAAACTTTCACAGAATCTTTATTACATATTGTCATTGTGCACCTCCTATTTTACTTTTTGATCTGACATATATTTTGGATTTTCCAGAGCAAAACATGGACACTGCCATTATATTCATATGGGAGGCGGGGGATATCATTTAGTGAGCTCACTGCTCACAGTATCCTTAGTTTCTAGGAGCATCGTATATTAAGGTAGAACCTATGTCGGAAAAGTTTGTCACAAGCTTTTCAAACTTTTCAAAATGATAAATTAGTACTTGCTTATTGCGTGGACCCTGAGGTCCACGCAGTAAATATATAAGCGAGGTTAAACCAGATGCCATGGGCAAACGACAGGCTACGCGTGCGCGAGAATGTTGGAGAGTTTGCTCCTATAAGACAACTTGGGTAAGACAAACCTATCATATAAAATTCAATTAATATATAAGGTGACGTGAGCCCTTTTCGAGTTTGCTCCTATAAGACAACTTGCCCGTGAATAATTCGCCCTTTTCGAATTTGAATGCGCCATTCATTGGCAATTCTCTCTTTTACATCTGCACATCGTATCAATATATTTATTGGCGGATCCGAATTTCTCTTTCTTTACATATACGTTTATATACCAGTATACAAACTAAACATTGATTATATGGCACACACATTTTAAAACTAGAGGTACTGAATTTGAATGGCCATTCATTGGCAATGAGCAATTTTGTATGGCCACATAAGGAAGAACTTGCAGTATACATGGTATATAGATAACTTAAGAAGTTGAATTAAAAACTTCATTCAACGACTAGTTCTACCTTTCGAAAGATAGAACAAGTCTTCACAGGCATTAGAGCTCACTAAATGATACCCCCCGCCTCCCTTATGAATATAATGGCAGTGACTATGTTTTGCTCTGGAAAATCCAAAATATATGTCAGATCAAAAATTTAGCAAATATTACATGTAGGTATGATAGATAACTCAGGCCCGTAGGAAGCAGTTTCAGTTTGAGGAGGGGGGAGGGGCATCGACTTGTTCCCAAAAGTTCTCGTAGTTGTTAGATCAGCTAAATGGCCAGAGAGCCTCTCTTCTTTATTATTAAGGTTTTCTTTTTTTAATTAACTTTTTTTTGTGTTTTTTGTGTTTTGATTTGTTGTTTTTTTTTTTAAGGAAATCTTACTGTTTATCTTATTTATATATCTTAATTCAAATCACAATTTATTGAGAGAAACTATATCAGTATCAAACCATATATGTGATACATAATCATATTTGAGTATAGGAAGATAAAGAGGTTGGCTTGAGGGACTTTTTACTTGTCTTCTCGTTATCGATGGGGGTATATCAATTTATTGAAGTTTTTCAAAAGAAAGAAAACTCTCTCTACATGAGTGAAAAATTCTCGAATGGGACGTAAAATAGCATACAATAAATCAATCGAAAGAAAGATGATGACAAAAATGCATCTATATTTAAGTCCAGAATTTTTGTTAAATACATACATGTACAGTATTTTATTTTCAAAGTGCGTTTAAAGTATCTGCATGGTAAAGTTTGGTGTAAACCCTTAACGCGCTTTGAAAAAATAATTTCAAAGTGCGTTGATTTTGTTCCAATTAAATGAAACGCACTTTGAATTATTTTCGAAGTGCGTTCATTTTTTCCCAATTTTCACGCACTTTAAAAAAAAAATTCAAAGTGGGTAATGTTTTGGCAGTGTGATGACACACTGCATATAAAAGTCAACCATTGGAATTAATTTTTCTCCCCTTTGTTTTATAATTTTACGTTGTTTCGTTGTGCTTTATCAAGATGTCTTTGTATGGTTGTAGATTAATAAGGGACTCTATGAAGATTGGATACTCTTTGGAAATGTGGAAATCATTTCTTCCAACACCGTTCAAGGTATAACATATGAAAAAGTAATGCCTTTAACTTTCTTTCTATGGTATATTGTTTGGTATTTTTGAATTCTGTTTACCAAATTCAATCGCGCGCGTTTTGATATTATTTATTTATACAGTGTATATCAGTTTTTTTTTCAAGCAAAATACATGCATCACATCATTTCTTTATGACTGAAAAATCTTTGGGGTTTTAGAGTATCTTTTTTCATGCATTTCTTTTAGTAAATACGCAACATGTAACGCAGAAATAGTCAACAATCTACATGTATTTCAAAAAAATGAAAATGTGCTTTCTTATGCAAGGTGCACGTGATTTTGCATGTAATTTTAAGAACCCTCTCTACACCAGTACAAAATGTTTTTTTGGATATTGAGAAAAATATATTCTATAAAGCTGTTAGTATTGAGCTTATTTATATGATTTTCAACATATGGTGCGTGGCATTTACCCCCAGGAAAAATAATCAAACACTACACAGTATCAGTGAATAGAAATCACTGTTGTTTACTTTCATAGAGAAAATACATGTGAATAACATGTTCAATTAATTTGTCTTGGCCTTTTAAAATGTTAAGAATACCTGAAATGATTACAAATTGTGTAATAAACTGTGAATTTCTAATTTTAAGAATTTAGATCTAAGGGCAGATCACTCTAACTGCAAAAAAAAATACCCCCTCCCCCTTTACAAACTCCTAGAAATATCGTCTTACGAGTTTTTATTTATTTGTGACCTGCATTTCTTATTTTTTCACCAAATTTAACTTTAAGATAGAAAATTTTCTACAAGTAAATTAGTAAAAGCTTCTGTAGATAAATTTATATTATTCCGGAAATATTATAGTCGTCTCTTTTCCAAGGCTTGCGGTACATTAGTTATCATCAATATGCTTCCAGTTGTGAAATGGGGATTTCCAAAACGTAAACGATCAACGATGGAATATTTGGAAATAATTCAAACACATTTTAGTGTTTATTTATTTCTTCACATGAAATAGATATTCACTCACATGATGTGAAGGTTCTGAAAATGGCAATGCTGTTGGTTTCTAGGTCAGTAGAATAATATGTAAAGTTTTAAAATAGATTCCGATTCTTATTCACATTCACAAGCGCCTGTGTTCTTATTGTTTAATTCAGAATATGTGGAACTATACACAGATCCAGCACAATACCCCGATAAAGCTATATAGCTTAATCAAGGTATTACAAATACCTTGATCAAGGTAATTTATGTAATGAAAATACAAAAAAAAATCTATAAAAAAAAATAATAAATAGATAAATAATGAAAAAGTCGAGTTCTGAGATGTTGTCAGTAAATTCACTCATGCATGTAAAGTACTCAAACACAAAGAAATCAGTATAAAAGCATGTCATGTGAGATGTTCTTTTATGCTGTCTTTTTGATACCCAAGTACTTTTCATGCATCATCATGGGAGACACACTGACAACAACTCAGAACTCGAAGATGGGACAAAAAAAATCATTAGACTTTCCATAGTACGATAAATCAGAATTAACAGGAAACTCATAGTTTAATGTTTAGAAAATTAATCCAGTTTTATAGGTCATGTGTAGCCTCAGATCTATTTCCAACACTTCCTCAACATGCTCAAGATCATGTTTCATTATTTACATGATTTAGTGGACATAGTTAAAACTTCCTTAACAGATTCTTTTATTAGAAAAAACAGTATTATCACTACATTGTCTTTCATTTTAACCATTATGTAATATTTCTCTTCTTTTTGTCAAAAACAATGATCAGGCAGCCATAAGTATGATTTATAATTATCTTGCTAAAGTTGCTTTAGCAACTTAACCTGTTAACCAATTTTTTTTTCTTATTGAAAAACCCATAGTGTTAAACATGTTAAATGAAAACAAATGACTTGAAGCCAGGAAAATTATCACTTTCATGATTAAAATTGTTTTGGGATTTAACATGTTTAAGAAGTAATTATTATTGTGACAACATGTGTATGTGGCTATGTGCATGGTATATATAGACAAGGAAATGCACTCTTAATACAAACTTGAACATAAAAGATGAAATGAAGTGATTTAAACTGTACTAACATGTATTTTGCTCTAAGGCTGTATGATAAACCATGTCTGATATTTTGATTTAATAAGCATGATAAGGACATTTTAATTCTTTTTTTCCTCAGAATTTAAAAAAAGAGATGTCTACGGATGATTGTGTTCCATTACGACAATCTCAGAATTATCTGTGGGACGTCACCAAAATTCTGGGCCAGGGAGCCACCAGTAAAGTGTACAAAGGCAGAGAAAAGGTAAAACATCAGATGAGATTATTTTCTAAGAAGAAATTAATTTCTACTCTAGCTTTCTCTCACTCTTGTCTCTCTCTCCCTCACCAGTTTTTGTAAAACTATGAAAATACAATAAATTACCGGGCAAGCAAATAATTTGCTATATTAACAGTAGTTCTTTTTAAGAAATTCAAGCTGACATGCTTCAGAAGAAATTACTTCATGTAGACTATGTACATTGAATCCTCTTGTCAATTTTTATATGCTAGGGGGCAAAAATATTTCACAATTTTTAAAAATTGTTTAACTCTTCATTATGAATTCATGAAATCAGCTGATTTTGCTGTTTGATTCAGAGAAATGGTGAGGAGGTAGCGGTTAAGGTGTTCTCCTCGGCAGCCATGCAGAGAAGTCCTGAGGTCCAGGTCAGGGAATTCCAGGTGATGATGCAACTCAAACACGAAAATGTCGTCCAGCTCCTGGGAATTGAGGAGGAGGTAGGTTCTCCCTCATTGATTGATTGAATCAAGTTGATTTAATGGGGTTTTAGTCAGGTTATGAAGCCAAAAATAAATCTGGTTTGTGAATAGATGATGATATCTCTCTAGCTATGCCTGTAGTGAATGTATCAAATTAACATTTTTAAATTTCTTTGTCCAAGAGAAAACAACAAATAATAAAAAAAAAAAACTGAATTCTTCATTAAGCTTGAAAAAAATCAGTTGAAGGGAGAGAGAGAGAGATGTGTACATGTATCACTTTAATTGACCTATAAATGGAATCTTCTTTTCTATCTCCAGGATGTCAATAACCATAAAGTGATTGTGATGGAGTTATCTCAGTATGGGAGTCTGTACACACTACTGGATGAGCCCAAAAACTCACTGGGACTCAAAGAAGACGAGTTCATCATTGTCCTCAAAGATCTTAGTATGGCACACTTCATTTGTTTTGGTTTAATTTTTTTAAATCTTGCAGGATTTAAAACCATTGAAAGTTCAATGATCATGTCTGTGTATCATATAGTGTTTCTTTACTTTGACATTTTATTCTTGTGTATTTTTAGCTGCGGGAATCCAGTATTTGAGGGAAAAAGACATTGTACACAGAGATATCAAGCCAGGAAACATATTGTTGTTCAAAGACGATGAAGGGAGGTAGGTGCACATGGTGAAATTTATACATCATTTCTTTTGTGTGAAGCATACTAGGACAATTACTGTAAATAATTTTAATTCCATGGTGTTAAAATTTCACGATATCTCAAAATGTACCAATTGCAATGGTTTTAATTTCACGCTGCAAGAAATTAATTCAAAATTTCCTGTAAGCATTTAAGCAGTTTAAGAAACTAATATTAACAGTCACGATGGGTTTAATTTCGCGGAAAAATGATAAATCGCGAACATAGCGAAATTAAAACCATCACGATTATTTGCCAATCTACAGTATTTTGTAATGCATTTAAACTTTAAACCTTTCATATTTTTACCAGTATATACTGTAGATCACTAAATAATTATTTTTGACACCTTATTTTGCGAGATAGTCATTGACTCTTTATTAGTGATAGCTGCAGATCTGTAGCATTTTGGTTTTATATACATGTATTTGTCTTTGACCATCACACTACAGAACTCGTAATGCAAAAAAGGTGCAATTTACTGCACAATATCTTTTGCGCAATTTTGGGGAGAATTTCTCAACTTTCTAGCATTGGTCAATCAACTACCTTTCACTCCCTAATGCTGTTCTGACACATTCTGTAGCCATGCAATATGTATATGTATTTTATCTTCCTCTCAACCATTTATAGGTGTCTCTACAGGCAATAAACTCGCTTGAAGTGAATTTTCAGCAATCTAACAAATAATTTTAATCAAGCAAGTTTAGCAATTGTATAAATGACTATAAAGGGTTGGGAGGTGGCTAAAATATACAGATTAGTTAAAAAATGTGCCTAGAATTAGGGAGTGAAAGGTAGTTAATTGACCGATGCTGGAAATTGGAGAAATTCTCCCCAAAAGTGCGAAAAAAATATTGCGCTGTAAATTGCACCTTTTTTGCATTAAGGGATCTGTAGCGTTATGGTCAAAGACAAATATATAAAACACTAACGCTACAGATCTGCAGCTATATTAGTGAGACATAATTTTAACAAATTGTTGTTATTCCTCTATATGATCTTAAGGAAAACTATTATACGTGAGAATGACATTTTCGTGAGCTCACTCTCTCACATAATTTCGTGAAAATAAAGTTCTCATAAATAAAAAGTGATTTACAGTACACTCATTAATTTAATACCATAGAGTCTGATATTCTGTTTTTCACAAATTTCAAGATAGCTTTAATTCTTGAAACTTGATTGAATGTATTTATGTCAGTTTTCCTGATGTCTTTTCTGTGATAATGATAAAAATTTGAATTTGTGTGCTTGTACAGTGATGCACTTTACACAATGACAAATATTTCTTTTCATAGGTCTGTTTACAAACTGACAGATTTTGGTGCAGCTAAACAACTTGAGAGTGAGGATGAACAATTTATGTCCCTCTATGGCACAGAAGAATATCTGGTAAATTTCAACATCTGACATTTTTTCTTGGTCTCTTCAAATTCAAGATAATAAAGTATATTTAGAAGATTTTTGAATTAATTTCTATATGTTATTTGCAGCATCCTAACATTTATGGTCGAGCAGTGATAAAGGATGGAAACACTGGTCCATTTGATGCAACAGTTGACCTTTGGAGCCTTGGGGTCACGATTTATCATTCTGCCACGGGACACCTGCCCTTTAAAGCATTCGGGGGAAGAAGAAACAGACACAAAATGTAAACAGTTTTAATGGGGAAAAAAAATATTTTACATGACTGTATAAAGGGTAAACTGTTACATTTTGATGAACATGCTCTTATATCGAATCCAGATGAAAAATGATAATTTATTTTACATTTATATGTTATTAAATAAGATTCATTTATATTAGTGGGAGGTGGAATATGTATTAGTAACAGAACAATTTATAGTACGAATATTGTTTTATTGAGACAGGTATGAAATCACTAAGACAAAAGAGAGTGGGGTGATATCGGGGGTACAGAAGTACGAGGACGGGCCGGTCGAGTGGAACAGAGATCTACCTCTCACCTGTCTATTGTCTACGTAAGTCACTATTTATAGGTTACAGATGTTTATTATTGGAAAACAGATATTTTGCATGATTACAAATATGTGGTAAGGGATTCTTTTGGAAAAAATTTGAGATAATTATGAAAATGCTTCTTGAATATACATGTAAAATGCAAGACACTGCTAGCTTGGAAATTGCTCTAATTTGCATGATGGAATGTTGTGTAAACTTCATGGAGCTACATTCATAAACATCACAATCAGGCATGCTTAATAAAATATATATATCATTTCTCTGGATTGAAGTAAAACAGAATTAATTTTAGAAATTCATCTTTGATAATAATTAGAATTATCGGATGATGAAAAAATAATTTTTAATACATGTACGCTAGCTGAGACAAAATATTTTGAAATTGGTTCAACCAATAGGAAACAGAATAGAGATGTACTAACATTCACAAAAATTAGAAAACACAAATTTTAATCTGTCAATGCAGAGGTCTGAAAAAGTTCTTGGTTCCACTACTGGCTTCCCTGCTTGAGAGCAACGAAAGAAAAAGGACAACTTTTGACAGGTTCTTTGAGAAAGTGGCAGATCTTCTCAGCAAGAAAGTTCTCAACACATTTTGTCCAGTAACTTGGTCCAACATGAGAATCTATGTTAACAAAGACACCAAGTATGACATTTCACTTCTTTTTTAGCTCACCTGAGCCGAAGGCTCAAGTGAGCTTTTCTAATCAAAATTTGTCCGTTGTCTGTTGTTGTCGTTGTAGTCGTTGTTGTTGTTGTTGTCGTTGTAAACTTTTCACATTTTCATCTTCTCAAGAACCACTGGGCCAATTTCAACCAAACTTGGCACAAAGTATCCTTGGGTGAAGGGGATTCAAGCTTTTTATATGAAGGGCCATGCCCTTTTCCAAGGGGAGATAATTATGAATTAGAGAATAATTAATGGCATTTTTAAAAAATCTTCTTCTTAAGAACCACTGGGCCAGGAAAGATGAAACTCATCCTCAGGTAGTGTAGATTCAAGTTTGTTCAAATCATGACCCCCGGGGGTAGGGTGGGGCCATAATGTCCGATCAAAGTTTTACATAGGAATATATATGGAAAATCTTTAAAAATCTTCTTCTCAAGAACCATTGAGACAGGAAAGATAAAACTCATGTGAAATCATCCTCAGGTAGTATAGATTCAGATTTGTTCAAATCATGATCCCTGGGGCTAGGGTGGGGCCATAATGGCCATTAAAAGTTTTACATAGGAATCAATATATAGGAAAAAATCTTTAAAAATCTTCTTCTCAAGAATCACTGGGCCAGGAAAGATGAAACTTATGTGGAATCATCCTCAGGTAGTGTAAATTAAGTTTGTTCAAATCATGACCCCTGGGGGTAGGGTGAGGCCAAAATGGCCGATCAAAGTTTTACATAGGAATATATAGGAAAAATCTTTAAAAATCTTCTTCTCAAGAATCATTGAGACAGGAAAGATAAAACTCATGTGAAATTATCCTCAGGTAGTGTAGACTCAGATTTGTTTAATTCATGACCCCCGGGGCTAGGGTGGGACCATAATGGCCGTTAAAAGTTTTACATAGGAATATATAGGAAAAAATCTTTAAAAATCTTCTCAAGGTTTTCACCTCAGGAATATATATGACCCCTGAAAAAATGGCAGATCAAAGTTTTTCACAGGAATATATAGAGAAATCTCCTTTTCAAGTACTTCAAAGTGATGATTAGTGATATTTACATGGAATCATCCTCAGGTAGTGTAGATTCTAGTTTGTTCAAATCATGACCCTCTGGGGGGGTTAAAATTTAAGCCCCCCCCCCCCTCCAACCTCAGTAAACTTTCATTTCTGATCTGATATGTGCTTTTTCCTAGCCGATGTGCTCAGGTGAGCGCTGTGGCCCCTGGGCCTCTTGTTATTAAATATTTCTGATCATAAAGATGATGAATGCAATAAAAATTATCGAAATATTCATAATATTTACATGTAAATCCATAAAACATCCTATAATCAGCAGCATTTTCCATTTTCTGCCCCTTATCTCTACTTCAAATACAGACTATTACATGTACTAAATTTAATGGTTGATTTTTGTTCCAGACTCTCAGGCCTACAGGAAGTGATCGCTGAGCAGTGTGAGGTGGCAGCTGTCAATCAAATCCTGGTCGTCGACGGAGAGTTACTGGAGCATACTGTTGACCCTCTTGACCCCGTGTCAGATTATCCAAAGTCCATCACAGAAGACAACCCTATATTTGTGTTCCTGAAGTCCTATCCTGATCACAGATATTTCCCAAACTGTGTATATCGTAAGCAGTTTCTTATTTTCAATGTCATGTCATGTTGATCCTAGAATTTTTCCCTTTGAAATGATTCTGTAGGTGCATGCACAAACCATTGTGACTGTATACAAAAATGAAATTTCAAAATGAACAGTACATTCAACAATGTAATGTAATGTTTTGTTAGATAAATTTATTCAACAAGATTCTTAACTGCATGGAATTAATGGCAACATGTTCTTGCTTCAAATATTTCAACTTTTGAGTTACATTTATATGATTTACTGTATAGGGGATAAATTTCAGAGGTTGTAATTTTCACATTTTTCTTTCATCTGACACTACCGCGGTTTCTTCAGTTTGCAGTGAAAGTTACCTCCCTTGTCTATATCCGTTTTATCCATTCTGTAGCTATAATAATTATGTAAAGGACATTAATCAGCCTTATGTCTTTATTTCACGATCAACAGGGAAGGTTATAAAATTGTTATATTTAATAAATAATTGACAATTAATTAAAACAAGTGCAGTAACTGTTATCAAAAGTCCTTGACTATAAATGTCAAATGACTTTCCTAGTGCATGTACACCCCAAGATCTTCAATACAACATGGCGAAAAACCACTAGACGGTAAATAATTATGTGTTAATATAAATGTAGGTCGACGAAATAATATCCTACCACATCTTCAGTAAGTTCTAGGTTATTTGAATGATTTTTTAAAAACCAAAGTGTCGATAAAAACTGCTATAATGCAGGTAACAAAAACACGTGGTAACATTAGTTACACATGAGTAATCAAAATTCATGGCTCACATGTTTTGATTAATGAAACACATAGCGTTGGCTGTTAAAACAGCTATTTAACAAATACAAGTTACGTGGTAACATTAGTTACACATGAGTAATCAAAATTCATGGCTCACATGTTTTGATTAATGAAACACATAGCGTTGGCTGTTAAAACAGCTATTTAACAAATACAAGTTGTTATCAGCTGATTTGAATTAAAGTAAAGTAAAGTAATTAAAGTAAAGCATGATAATTAAAATAATTGAATGACAAGTACTATTCGTAATTACTGAAATGACCATGTACTGCACATACATGCATATAAACCTATCGTATTCTATTCTCAAATTTTCAAAAAAACCCCTTGGAGATTACTGTGGTTTCATCAATTTTCGTTGCCATCAATTTTCGTTGATTTTGTAAAACATACGTTTTCGAGGATACCTAATTTCGTGGACGAAAGTATTGTCTATACAAATAGATAACACATTTCTCAATTCAATGAACATTTCATTTCGTGGATCTGCTCACCAACGAATTCCTCGAAAATTGGTGCTCAACGAATATTGATGAAACCACAGTATTGAAAATTTCTTGAATGCACGGATTTATTAACACCGTGAATGTAGCAAATATTAACTCCGCAAGTTATTTTCCCCCTATACAGTACTCTATTTAGATATCTTTTCAAAAGTAATTTTATTTTGTTGTAGCTGAGTTTCCAAGATTCAGCAGTTCAGTACACATCAGCAATGACTACCAGCTATCAAAGCTATGTTGTACAGTCATGTCCTTTCATCTTCGACTCGTAAGACAGTATCACAGAAAATTACAGTTATTACAGAAGAGTGTTCGAGGATACATGTAAGTATAGTATCTCTAAAATCAATGTTTGACAAAGTTTTCATGCTAAATTGAGTTAAAATGATTAAAGGAATATCAACAATACATGCTTTTCTATATGTATGTGTATGCTCAATGGATAACTACATGTACAGAAATATCACACACAAAAAAAAAATAAAGTCAGCATTACTGGCTCATGAAGTGCTATGTGATATAAAAATTGTACAAAGATTACACTGTGATTTTCTGGTTCCTTCATCACACCTATATATAACCAGTTACAATATTTTTTTTGTTGTTTTTTAGACATGAGCTTCACCATGAGATTGAGCACCTAGTAGACTACCTCAGACATCAGAAACAACACAACCAGACGTGTCAACTGTGGACACGGAACTATAACCATTCTGTGGCCCAGAACATGGCGCTAGTCAGGGGGACCAATCAGGGGCAGGGGGCCAAAGACAGGGAAATACTGCTGGAGGGAAATCAGAAATATATCAGGGACCTGCAGAAACAGGTAGGAGCCAAGGGCTTTGATGTCCAATCATATGGCATGTTATAAAATATCAGACCAATAAGGAGTCCTTCAACAGAAATTTTTCTGCTTATCAAAGGTTGATTTAATAAAAACAGAGGCATGTAATTTTGGTTTCTCTTACAATATGAGTATCATGAAAGGATCATGTCAACATACTGAAATGGTGATATGAAATAACACAAAATGATGAACTTCAGTATCTCAATTCTCAAACACAAAAATGACTAATACATATGAACCTAGATAAGTCCAATCGAAATAGAAGTCCCCACCACTGAATCTTTAAGTATTTTGCTTTACACTTGGTATCTCAAATCCTGGAATATCTCAGAGTTTTTTTTCTCTGGAGTTCATTGAATTTAAGATAAATAGGTTTGACTGTATTATGACACAGAATGGATATGTATTTGTAGGTGGACAACATAATGAAGGGAGCAGAGGAGCAGCTAAATCAGCTCCAGAGAGATGAACTTCAGAACAAGAGACTAGAGAGATACTGGAGGGATGAAAACCTGGCCTGTCACTCTGATACTTATAGATGGTAAGTACTACAGAACAAGAGACTAGAGAGATACTGGAGGGATGAAAACCTGGCGTGTCACTCTGATACTTATAGATGGTAAGTTACAGAACAAGAGACTAGAGAGATACTGGGGGGATGAAAACCTGGCGTGTCACTCTGATACTTATAGATGGTAAGTTACAGAACAAGAGACTAGAGAGATACTGGGGGGATGAAAACCTGGCGTGTCACTCTGATACTTATAGATGGTAAGTTACAGAACAAGAGACTAGAGAGATACTGGAGGGATGAAAACCTGGCGTGTCACTCTGATACTTATAGATGGTAAGTACTACAGAACAAGAGACTAGAGAGATACTGGGGGGATGAAAACCTGGCGTGTCACTCTGATACTTATAGATGGTAAGTTACAGAACAAGAGACTAGAGAGATACTGGAGGGATGAAAACCTGGCGTGTCACTCTGATACTTATAGATGGTAAGTTACAGAACAAGAGACTAGAGAGATACTGGAGGGATGAAAACCTGGCGTGTCACTCTGATACTTATAGATGGTAAGTTACAGAACAAGAGACTAGAGAGATACTGGAGGGATGAAAACCTGGCGTGTCACTCTGATACTTATAGATGGTAAGTTACAGAACAAGAGACTAGAGAGATACTGGAGGGATGAAAACCTGGCATGCCACTCTGATTCTTATAGATGGTAAGTTACAGAACAAGAGACTAGAGAGATACTGGAGGGATGAAAACCTGGCGTGTCACTCTGATACTTATAGATGGTAAGTTACAGAACAAGAGACTAGAGAGATACTGGAGGGATGAAAACCTGACTCTGATAATAGATGGTAAGTTACAGAACAAGAGACTAGAGAGATACTGGAGGGATGAAAACCTGGCATGCCACTCTGATTCTTATAGATGGTAAGTTACAGAACAAGAGACTAGAGAGATACTGGAGGGATGAAAACCTGGCGTGTCACTCTGATACTTATAGATGGTAAGTTACAGAACAAGAGACTAGAGAGATACTGGAGGGATGAAAACCTGGCGTGTCACTCTGATACTTATAGATGGTAAGTTACAGAACAAGAGACTAGAGAGATACTGGGGGGATGAAAACCTGGCGTGCCACTCTGATTCTTATAGATGGTAAGTTACAGAACAAGAGACTAGAGAGATACTGGGGGGGATTTGGCTGCACTCCGATGTAGATGGTAAGTTACAGAACAAGAGACTAGAGAGATACTGGGGGGATGAAAACCTGGCCTGTCACTCTGATTCTTATAGATGGTAAGTTACAGAACAAGAGACTAGAGAGATACTGGAGGGATGAAAACCTGGCGTGCCACTCTGATACTTATAGATGGTAAGTTACAGAACAAGAGACTAGAGAGATACTGGGGGGGATGAAAACCTGGCGTGTCACTCCGATACTTATAGATGGTAAGTACTACAGAACAAGAGACTAGAGAGATACTGGGGGGATGAAAACCTGGCCTGTCACTCTGATACTTATAGATGGTAAGGTACAGAACAAGAGACTAGAGAGATACTGGAGGGATGAAAACCTGGCGTTATACTTATAGATGGTAAGTTACAGAACAAAAGACTAGAGAGATACTGGGGGGATGAAAACCTGGCGTGTCACTCCGATACTTATAGATGGTAAGTACTACAGAACAAGAGACTAGAGAGATACTGGAGGGATGAAAACCTGGCGTGCCACTCTGATACTTATAGATGGTATATACTAAAATATCTATATAGGCAATCTGGCCTGTCACTCCGATACTTATAGATGGTAAGGTACAGAACAAGAGACTAAAGAGGTACTGGAGGGATGAAAACCTGGTGTGTCACTCTGATACTTATAGATGGTAAGGTACAGAACAAGAGACTAGAGAGGTACTGGAGGGATGAAAACCTGGCGTGCCACTCTGATACTTATAGATGGTAAGTACTACAGAACAAGAGACTAGAGAGATACTGGGGGGATGAAAACCTGGCCTGTCACTCCGATACTTATAGATGGTAAGGTACAGAACAAGAGACTAGAGAGGTACTGGAGGGATGAAAACCTGGCCTGTCACTCTGATACTTATAGATGGTAAGGTACAGAACAAGAGACTAGAGAGATTTGGAGGGAAAAACCTGGAATAATAGATGGTAAGTACTACAGAACAAGAGACTAGAGAGGTACTAAAGGGATGAAAACCTGGCCTGTCACTCTGATACTTATAGATGGTAAGTATTACAGAACAAGAGACTAGAGAGATACTGGGGGGATGAAAACCTGGCCTGTACTCTTACTTAAATGGTAAGTTACAGAACAAGAGACTTACTGACTTGGCCTGTCACTCTGATACTTATAAATGGTAAGGTACAGAACAAGAGACTAGAGATACTGGGGGGATGAAAATCTGGCCTGTCACTCTGATACTTATAGATGGTAAGTACTACAGAACAAGAGACTAGAGAGATACTGGGGGGATGAAAACCTGGCCTGTCACTCTGATACTTATAGATGGTAAGTACTACAGAACAAGAGACGAGAGAGATACTGTCGGGAAGAAAAACTGTCGAGTCACTCTGATACTTATAGTTGGTAAGGTACAGAACAAGAGACTAGAAAGATACTGGGGGGATGAAAACCTGGCGTGTCACTCTGATACTTAAATGGTAAGGTACAGAACAAGAGACTAGAGAGATACTGGGGGGATGAAAACCTACTGATACTTATAGATGGTAAGGTACAGAACAAGAGACTAGAGAGATACTGGGGGGATGAAAACCTGGCGTGTCACTCTGATACTTATAGATGGTAAGGTACAGAACAAGAGACTAGAGAGATACTGGGGGGATGAAAACCTGGCCTGTCACTCTGATACTTATAGATGGTAAGTACTACAGAACAAGAGACTAGAGAGATACTGGAGGGATGAAAACCTGGCCTGTCACTCTGATACTTATAGATGGTAAGTTACAGAACAAGAGACTAGAGAGATACTGGAGGGATGAAAACCTGGCGTGCCACTCTGATACTTATAGATGGTAAGTACTACAGAACAAGAGACTAGAGAGATACTGGGGGGATGAAAACCTGGCGTGTCACTCTGATACTTATAGATAGTATTTACTCATTCTGAGTTTGACATAGTAGGCAGAGAAATGAATCCTGAAAAAGATTTTAGTTAAGGCATAATGATAAACCAGAAGTCAATACTGAGTTTGTAACTGAAAAGAAGCATTAGTGTTAAAGATATACTTGAATACTGTGTAATTTCCATCCAACATTGGTGCTTGTTGTAATGTTTGGCTGCTATGTAGTGCTTTGTTTGTTTGTAGTGGAGAGAAGATAGAGGTAATGTTGGAATCAATGCGGGGTATCATGATGGCATTTAAAGAGGACAGACACAGAGTGGTGCTTGGGAAACTGGAGGAGAACATCCATATGGTAGAAAAGTAAGTCATCAATTTAAATTTACAAAGAATAGAAAAGTATGTCATCAGTTTAACTTTACAAAGAATAGAAAAGTAGGTCATCAGTTTAACTTTACAAAGAATAGAAAAGTAGGTCATCAATTAAACTGATAGACAGGGTAGAAAATAGGTCATAGACAGACACAAAAAGGTGCTAGGCAAACTGGAGGAGAATAATTATCCAAATGGTAGAAAAGTAGGTCATCAGTCTTAAAATCAATTTTGCAAAATTGGAAAATATTACAAAGAGATAGAAAACTGTTTTGATCTAGTTTCTTAAAAACAGTTTTTGATATCATTACATGCATTTGACTTTTCATTAATATGTAATATTTGATTTGATATTACAGAAATCGACTGCAGACATTATGTTCTAAGTCCCTGTCCATATTAGAAAGCTGTAACCGATGTACAGAAAAACAGTATAATGCTTACTACATGTGGTACAAGTAAGTGTGTAGAGAAAAGCAGTATTATCTGTTTGACATGGTATAAGTAGATACTTTAACATGAAAAAGAAAACAGTACAAAAACTTAACCTTGACAATAATTTTTGAAAAAATTATGGGCTTTAAATATTTCACTTGTATATTATTTTTGGACAAGGCCTTTCTATGTATATTTCTATTTCAATTTTATACAAGGTCATATAGTTTTTATTTGTGAAATTGAATCTTGTCAGATCTTGTTTGATGTACATCTGTTTTATACTTTGACAGTCAGGCAGTTGATACAAGAAACAGATGTGATAAAGTGAATCTAAAACTGGGTCACCTGGAGAAGAGACAGACGGAATACGTCAGTAAACTAGACGAGGTAGGTATAAATAACAGTTATCTGAACATATCAGAAACTAGACAAAGTAAGATATTATAAATGACAGAAAGCAGAATATGTCATTAAATTAGATGAAGGTATAGGCAGAAATGTTAATTATCAAAACATGTTATTGGCTTGTCCCTTGCCACAAATTAATTTTTGTTTAGAATATTTTTATTGTGTGTTTCAGTTTTCTAAGGTGATGATAGGGAGTATGCATGATATTGTATGTGAACCAAATTTCATTCCTAATAACAACAAAGATCAGCAGAGACGTGTGATTTCTACAAACCTTCTTAATCAGCTCAATAACAGGTTAGTCTGTCATATCAACTACATTAAAGAGAATTCTCTGATGTATATGTTTGGAAGCATGACTGTTGTGGCAAAAAGTGCCCCCCTCCCCAGCAAATTCTTGGATCATTGCTGCGCTATTATGCAGGCAGAGTCCAAACAGAACATTAATAGATAACAACATATGACGGACCAGAACAGGATTCGAACCCAGGTCCCCGGAATCTCCAGTCAGGTGCTCTACCAACTGAGATATTTGGCTACTGCCAGTCAAACCCCTCTGACGGCCTCTGAGTTATTGGGGATTGAACATAGGGATAACTGTGAATGAACAAAGAATGTTAAATACATGTACTAAGGAAATTGAGGATAGTTTCCAAATAATACCGTTGTCACGACACCCTAAGCTTGATCAGTGATAACAAGATTATTTTTTCTATTTACAATTTTATATAAAAACAAACATGTACAAATATACAAGATGAAAATTAAAGCAAAATTTCAAAATGTCTATTCCTGTTCGTCTGGGACCACGTTCCTGTAGCCGTCCACGCCCATTTCCTGTGTTTAACGGTCCATGACCTAGGGGTACCACGCCCTTGCACTAAATGCCACAACGTGCTCGACGTCCCGCACCAATCCAAAGCATCTTAAGCGTCTGCAGTGCTGACAAAACCAGGAAACCACGTCTCCCCCACACGGCCTCGGCCTAGTGTACCATGCCCTTGTGTAGTCGCGAGGTTGCCACTGCCGACAGCACCAAACCATCATGTAACCACACGCATGCATATATATATGTACAGGAACCTTCAACAAATATGTGTAGACAGAATAACAGCTTGACCCCAAACGGGCTGCCTCACAACACATCATAAATGTTTACACATATAGTTGTTCAAACATACAGTTTGACTAATATGTATCACACCGTTTCGTACGGGAAAGCAAAATAATGTACAATATAACATTACAGTCTGAGTAATAAACTTATATCATTACTTTACACTTAAACTCATGGCATGTGCATGTGGTAACATTCCCGTATATACAATTCGAACACTTTCTCTCGTGGATAAAAATAGAATAAGCTCAATTAGTATACACTACATTACTTTTCAATATAATAAATGCAAGTAAATTGCACTTAACCTGACAGGAGATTCAGTTACCACAAATAAAACTATCTAACCCTCCGTGGACATGTGAAACTACTTTCACTGGTCAAGGAAAACGTGCGCTACCCAAGACAAACTTAACATCACCTTATATAGCAACTGGCCAAATATTTAAATCACCAGAGCCTCACAATGGGGCTTCTTGCAGGATAAACACTAAATACAAACAAAGGTCACCACAGGGCAATGCTAATAAAACAGAAAATAAATGTACATATAACAAAATCAACATTGATTGCGACAACGGTATAAGTGGAAATTTTAGTGATTTTTCCGTAAAAAATCGGTATTTGATTTTTAGGGAGAAGCAATTTCAGTGATTTTAAAATGCTATTTTAAGGAGTTATTACAAATAAAACACAATTAATTTTTAGCGATTTTCAATTTTAGCAATCTCATCACCCTCATTAATAATGCCAGAATTATATCCTCAAAAAAAATTCTGCTTGTATGTTGTTACCATAATCAATGAAAGATATCGTTGAATTGCTGTCACTAAAATTGGACTATTTTATCTTGATAGTTTGTTGAATGTCAGAATTATTTTATTTGTAGATTAGAGTCAGTAGAATTGGAAGTAATGGCTCTTACACAGAGTGTAGACGAGAATTCCAAAATAATAAATAGGTAGGTATTAAGTTATAAAATATATTGCTTGTCATTTTACTTCATTATCATTTCATTTTAGTCAATAGGTTTTAGTTAATGTGCATGTCGAGTCAAGTAAGATTTCCTGTTGGTATGACAAGAAATTTCACTGTTTATATGTTCACTATTTAGATAAATTCTATCTTTGCAACACTCTTTTTTACAAAACACTAATAGCTATTTGGTGTTTTTAATAAATCAAAACAAATTTTTCTTGAGCTTTGATTATTGTGTTGCATATATGTGAGAATAAATTTCTTTACAAACTGATTACACAAAAAACATAAGAGTTATCTCAAATAATTTGATAAATTGAATCATACTATTTTTCTTCTAAACTTGCATATTGTTTAATGTATTTCAGCACTGAACAGCATATAAATGAAGGTGACTTCTGAAAAAAAACTTGCAGTTAAAAGTTACAGAAAAAGTTCAGGAATGTGAAAACCAAAGCTCAGCAAAGTGTCAGTGAAGCTCAACAGTTACATGTTACAGACTGTAAATGAAGCTCAACAGTGTGTGAACAGACTGATTTGCTTGTGGGCAAACACTTTGAACCAAGGTAGTACAACAACGTTTTGCCTCAATACAGCTCGTTGTTAAAACATAAGAACTCAAAAGACAATATTATTGTGATACTTCTCTTCCACAGATGTCAAAACCAAATTCCTTGATGTCAAAACCAAATTCCTAGATTATGTGACTAAATGTGTATTCAAAGTAATGTTGGTTTATTGACTAGATGTGTATATTTAAGGAATAACTGTCTTATTTTTCGATTTCATGAAGTGATCAATCGATTGGCTTGCATGATAATTTGCATAAACGCCAAAGGCGTTTATGTATAAAATTATCACACAAGCCAGTTGATTGATCATCTTCATGAAACTGAAAAAAAACTGACAGTTAATCCTTATACTGTACATGTATTTACATGGTATTGATTCCATCAATCCATGTGCTACAAGCCCTGCTTCTGTCTAGCCATTTGTCCCGCCCTGCACATGATTTTTTTTAGCAGGGTCTATTGAAAAACCAGAGTACATTAACTGTTTGTAATTTTGTCTCAGACAAAGACATTGGAAATGTAAATATTTTCATATCAATGCAAATAATCAAGGTAAAGATAAAAAGAAACCTTTGTGAGACCAATCACCTTTTCACAGTAGGAGATGTAGTTTACATCATTTCCTTATGATAAACTGTAAATATAGATTAGAATCAATATTAAAAAGTGCTTATAAGAAATTTCACCTTTAAGCAGCCAGTACAATTCATTTCCTGTATTGGATGATTTAATTTTATGTTGTAAAGATATATGACATTATGTATGTAATTAGCAGGCGATCAAAACAATCAGTATTTCCTCAAGGTTGTCAGGAACTACAAATAATGAATAAGTTTGATTTGTAGAAAAACACTGTGCCTCAGAGAGAGAGAGAGAGAGAGTCTTAGTCAGAGAGAGAGAGAGAGCTTTTTTAAGTGCACATGAAATAAACATTGCATGAGAGAGATAACTTTTTGAAGGTTCTTGGTTATTAACACTGTGTGATAAAGAGTAGTTTTGAATGTATTGTTAGTAGCAAATAAATGCATATCATTAACTTTATCAATTTTAAGTTATGCACAATTGTTTGTTGAAAACTGTTTACATTTGTTATATTGTGAATTAATTGTTTTTCTGTGTAGAATATATATTTTTATTTCAAAAAAAACACTGATGCTCATACATATGTAAAAAGTGTGTAAAAATACATGTAAACCTCAGTTTTAATCTGTATATTTATGCCTTAATTTTTAGACATTCAGAAATAAATAAATTATGTATATTTTTATACAAAGTCATTAATTTTCATCACTCAGGTATAATGTTCAGGTTCATTGTGCACTTTTTCAGTATGTTCTATTTGACATTGAAAAAAGACTTTCTTAAGAAAATTTGATGTCTCTTTAATTAAGGGAAATACAGGTTCAGTTAGGATAAGAAACCATGATGTTCACTTGTTTACTGATACGATATTATCCCAGAGCCCAGAATCGAAGTTTAAAATATTATAAAATAAAATGGAAATCTGCAAAGCAAGTAGATGAAAACACAAAAAAACATAACACATTAATTATACAAGTATAACACATATTGTTCTGCAGGGGACACTCACTCCTCTATGGCACTTGATCACAGCTCTGATTTTTAGAGGCTTGTGTATTTGCATAATTTGATTGGACTATTACATTTGTAGCTGGAATACTATACTGTTCTGCAAATATATCTCTATATATCTCCATATATTTCATGAAGTCTACAATGCTTCTGTGAACAAAGTGCAATAACTCTAATTTTCCATTGAACAGATTCAAACATGTCAAATGACTTTATATGTGTAAAACCAAAAAAGTAAATAAAAATAAATTTTAGTACCAGCTAGGTTAATTTAGCTTGAAATGTCAAAAATACCTTTCAAGCAAACGTATTATAACCAATGGCTTCAGTTACCAATAAAATTATTTTTTTTTTAAAAATCAAATATCATATTCTCTCTAAAAAGGAAAATGAAAATGATATTTGAAATTTAGCTTTCAATTGGCTGAAACCTTATCGAATCAGTGGGGAAAACAATATATATTGTCATTAAAATAATTATATAAAACAGGTCAAGGTGCCACAGACAGTTAAATGTAGTCTTAATTTTCAAATTATTACCTGATATCAAAAAGGTTTAAGCTAAATTCTTTCCACAATTTTCTCTAGGGAAACAATCATATTTGAGGGAAATAGGGAATTTGATGACCGGATGATTTTTGCTGATATGAGTTGCTTTTAATGGCCCGTGATCTCCCCGTACATGACTTGGGGAATCCTTCTGTGACGTATTTTAAATGGTCTAGCCTAGCAAGATCAGTAGAGCTCCTAGCAAATACACCATATGAATATCAAATCTTTGATTCCTTACAAATTCATCCTTCAATGTTTTGTTATCTATTTTGGGGGATTCTATCAATGGCTCTTATCATGACGAGGAGCACACAGCGTGTGTGACCGGTCCGCAGGGGATGCTCATTCCTCCATGGCACCTGATCCCACCTCTGATTTGATGGTAGTTCATGTTTGCTCTGCTCCTGATTTGTATTGTTTAATGGACTTTTGAGCTTGAATATATTGTTTCGTTATCTCCATATACGAGGGTTGATCCAAAAGCTCGTGGAATTTCTTCATTTATTTTATTTATTTTTAAGTGAAATTGATTGAAAATTACAAATGAGAATATAGACACTTGTTGAATATTTTAAATAAAAAAACATTTTAAGTATTTATGATAGTAATCCTATGGTAGTTGCTATGGAAACGGTTGTTTGGAAATGCGGGGGAGATTTTAACGCGTTTATTATTATTTTAATTCTTAATACGTGAAATGAGAATAGAACAACCCTATGTGGTATATAAAACAAAAATTATGTCATTATTACGACTGCTTGATCTTTTATAAACCTTTGAGAATTTTACTGATTTTACTGGATATTTAGTTTATTAGTTGGTGATTTATTGTTCATATTTATGTTGTTAGACAACGTCAAATTTCAGTCAAGTCATAAGTTTGGTTAAATTCCCGGGATCACTCTATCTTAAACACGTATATTATTGACACAGGCTGGGGAAAAAGCATTTAATAACTGGTTTTCCATTGACATAAGAAATTTAAGAAAAATAGAACTTCCGTGGACGTTGATTAAAGGTGTGGCCGGCTTTTGGAGGCTCTGTTTTAAGTGTTTATCTCCCTAGACAAATTAAAAGCTTTAATGGACGTTGTCAGCTGATGTACTCTTCTTGACATTGCTACTGAAATTGGAACATTATATGGAAAGATGGGGAATATTTTGAAATATGAGTGAAAAATGAAGATGAGCTTTTGCGAGAGGATACCCAGGCTTTTCTTGAGAACAAAAATGGAGAAAAAGGGCAACATTTGGTAGAATTATGTATTCGAATTGGACATTAGGATGAGACGCTTCTATAACGTGACGTGACATATCTAACTTGATGTAACGTCGAAATCTCCACCGGGTTTCGCAACTATCCATTTTCAGAAAGCTTGTGTGACCTTATTGGTAATTGGAAAGTGATGAAATTTTCCAATATTGTTGCATTATGACTCTCTATTATAAATATGTTTGTTGTTTGCTTTCATCAAATCACGATAAAATTTTAGAAAGAAATTCCACGAACTTTTGGATCAACCCTCGTATTTCATCTTACAAATCTGCTGTCTCTGTCGATGTATTACTTGTACTCTGTACCTTGACAGACTGCATGAAATATATGGAGATTGATAGCGAACAGTATTCAAGCTCAAAAGTCCACTCAATCAATACAATTCAGGAGCATAATGAACACGGACCCCTAAGACTCTAGAGTTGGGATCAGGTTCCATGGAGGATAGATTAACCCCCTGCCAACCGTCACATCTCAGAAAACTATTTGAAAGATTAAGGACTGTCACTTTCCTCAGGTTGTTAAAATGTTTGATACCCCAAATTGAACAGTATCGGTTGGTTAATGCGTTTATTTGTAACGAGTGATGGTGTTATATTTATGTCTACTTTTACTATCGAGCCTTTAGTTTATCATAAAAGCGTGTATGTACTGAAATAAGGCATTCTTCTATCTAGGAAACAACGACAAGGTCCTCAGTATTTGACTGAATAAATATCGTCGACCTTTCTCAGTATTTTCGAGGACTATTCAAAGTATGGTGTAGCCTCTATTCTGCTAAATAATTGGTGAATATAATTATGAAGAAACCTAATTTAAATTGTCAAAACGTAGCTGTACTGAGAAGTACAATCATGTATTTAGTATAATTAACAGTGGGATACACGTAATTATACTTCTCTTACATCATGATACTGAATAATTTTACTCCAAGTATTGGTTGATTCTAAGTTCTAAATAGAAGACTCTCTGATTAATGCATGAAAGCCTCTGAATAATATTGAAACCTGGACACTAGTTAAAATGATCTAGCTGTACATACGTATTCTGCAATGAACTAGATATTGAAGGAATATTTAGAATTAAAACGAAACTTTGAAGCAGGTCTACTTCTATGTTAAAAAAACTGATTAAAATAAAATATGGCGATTCCAGAAACCAGCCCTAAAATCAGAAAAAAACGTCACGAGCAAGACAATGATATCTGTAAAAGAAATTTCCTACTTTTGGGGGTTATACTTTTAACAAACATGAATTTACACTACGAGGGATGCTAACAATATGAACATTGTTATCTGCTGTTTCACAAAAAGTTTTATCTCTCATTCAGACCACCTGTATTTTACAAGGGCAATCGATTAGATCAGATAAAGAGCAACATTCCACATCAATGAAATTTCAAAGACATCATTTTAAAATCTTAAATTTTTAAGAAAAATTTACAATGGCCAGTAACAATGAAACTTTTTCAGAATCTTCTTGACAAAGTGATGATACTTTTTAGCTCACCTTAACGAAGTTTGGAGGAGCTTATTTGATACAGTCGGTGTCCCAGGTTAAAGTTTTTGGAGCTGTTTGCTTTTTAAGTACTTCTTTGGTTTATATTGATCAGATACTCAAGGAAGATGCTTATCATGCTTCTAGTGTGTTTCATTGTACCAGATAAGGTTTCAGATGCTGC